ACCTTCACTGGATTAGCTCTCTGCAGTAATCAGCAGAATTAATAGAATAATCAAATTATACACAAACTCATAAATCATGGCGAATGTGCTGTCAGAGGTTCAGCTATTAATGGGCCCCATTGTTGTGCTGTTGTATTAGAAATTGTAGTGGCTGATTTTATTTCATATTTCTCTCTCTCTCTCTCTCTCTTTTTTTTTTTGCCATGATAGAAACTGAAATGGCATTTGAAGGCTGGGGAGGGGGCCGGGGGAGCAGAGAAGCGACTAGCAGGGCAAAAATTTTCACAACTGTTAATTTAGCTGTAATGTGGTTTGATGTCAACAGGGCAGAGTTGAAGCGGAGTGCACAGCAGGCGTGATCTTTCAACAGAGGCGGAATTATTGGCAGAGACAGTAGCCAGTTAATTAGAAGAATATCAGTTTAAATGTCTATTTAGGGTTAATAGTAATCAGAAGTACTTTGTAAACTTGGGATCCAGCCAAACCAGCCTGTGAGTTAAGTCTACTTTAAATAAAGGAGGGGGGGGGAACCATTGATACGATAACGAGTTTAGTTGTCACAGTAGATTTCAATTTTTCCGATTTTTTTTTAAAAAAGAGCATATTAATGCCAAATTCCAGCTACTACCCCCTTTCTGTGTTTCCTGACAGAAGCCCTCGAGATGATATACAAGCAGTCCTTGACTTTTGAGCCCCAGATTTCTGTTGCTAAGTGAGACATTTGTTAATGTCCCGTTTTACGACCGAATCCTCACAGTTGTTAAGTTAGTAACACGGTTGTTAAGTGAAACTGGTTTCCCTATTGACGTTGCTTGTCCGAAGGTCACAAAAGGGGATCACGTGACCCCCCCCAGGACACTGCAGCCGTCGTAAGTATGAACCAATTGTCAAGCATTCAAATCACAAGGATGCTGCAAAGGTCGTGTGAAAAATGCTGATAAGTCGCTTTTTTTCAGTGCCGTTGTAACTCTGAACGGTCACTAACTGTTGTAACTCGAGCACTAGATGTATATTTTTAAGCTACCGACATTTCATCAAAAGAAGTCCGATACAAAAAGCAAAGAAAAGGGGGTTGGTTAGGGTACTTGTAATCTTAGTTCATTGTACCCCAAGCCAGAATGGGGATATGTTTTTTTTTCAGGATACGTGAACCCAACATTGGACTTTGGAAATCAAGATTTCTGCCTTAACAAATGTCAACTCAATCTATTGAGGCTTCTTTAACAAAGTACGGACAGTGAAATGTGTGAACTGAATCATCGTGTTACTTAATAATAATAATAATTAAAAAAAAAGTTGGAAGGGACCTTGGAGGTCATCTAGTCCAACCCCCTGCTCAGGCAGGAAACCCTATACCATTTCAGACAAATGGCTGTCCAGTCTCTTCTTAAATGAGGTTCTTCTTAATGAGGTTCTAGTCAGCAAACAGAACGCTCATCGATTCTTTCTCATCCTAGCCCAATTCATGGAGAATAATTGGGAAAATTCTTCATGTGTTGCTGGTTAATCCTTCTTGGTGGAAGATCATCCAAGGATGCAACTGGCTAAAGTCACTTTGTGTCTGCATCATGGGACATTTAGTGCATGATAAGATAAGATAAGATAAGATAAGATAAGATAAGATGATAAGATAAGATAAGATAAGATAAGATAAGATAAGATAAGATAACCTTTATTGTCATTTTTTTACTGTGGGCACAACGGCACACATCAAAAATGAAATTTAGTTGCCTGCTCTCAAAGTGAAACACATACATGACACACACCTAAACATACTATGTACAACATATGTATAGACCCACACCCACCCATACATATACATAACAAATAAATATTAAATACTATCCATCTTGAATATATAACGGAAGGAGGAAGCTTGAGAATTCACAAGGTTAATGCTATATGGAATGAAACTCTGGCTGAATCTGGATGTTCTGCTACGGATGTCTATGGAGATTCGCAGTCATGCATAGCCCTCTCTCACCACCTATATCTCCTGTTTACAACACAGTCCTTTTAGCAGTTCCAAGAAGGTTCCACACCCATTTGCACTATTCAGGTGTCCCTGAGGGCACAGATAAACCTCCAAGTGGCCTCAACGACTCTCAGGAAGAGTACTAATGACCAGGTGACTGCAAGGAATAATAAATCCTTCCATCCTCCACCTTTCAGTCAGAATTTGGTTGAGAAGCGAAACGTTCTTCAAGGAAAAAACAAAGTCCAGTTGCCTTTTGATAAAGCACCTTTGGGATTATAGTGTGTACTTTTGGTGTGTGCATAATGTTCATCCATGGATGGCATTCGCCACTGGTGGCGTTCATTCATCCATTCCATCCTACGCTCAGAACTAGGAATGGGAAGAAGTTTCAGAGTAGAGATTGTCAACTTTGTAGGTTTTTTCCTCCAGCTATTCTCTTCTCCAACAGTCTTACTGGTTTGGGGATTCTGGGAGTTGAGGTCCATCCCATTTAGGCTTCATGGAGTAGACGAAATCTGGTTTGTAAAACATGAGTAACTGATGAACACAAGTTCAGTCTTCTGACTAAGTAGGCAAGAGAATAACAGTTTGGGCTTATTTTCAGCGGCAGGCCAATCAGGAACAGAAACCATAGGCTTTTCAGACTCTATTACTTTAGCCTCAAAATATGAAAATAATCCTGGGGATTCAGCTTTTCAACTTGTTGATTCAGCTGGATGTGGCAGAAAAAAAGAAGTAGCGATTTAACTGGGGGGGGGAATTACTAAGTGCTTTTGCTGTTATTGTAACTTGCTATATGTTGCTCGTTTTATTATTTTCAGCAGATGTTCCTCTTAACAAACACATAAGTTTCGTTTGCTGTGTCGAATTGCCAAAGTCCCTGCCTCCTATTACGTGAGAAACAAATCTGATTATTTCACTTTTGGAAATACTTATTTTTATATTTTATAGGGGAAAAAAGGTCCAACTTCTTTATTTGGTGCTGCCTTCTGTAGTATTTGCTTCTCTTTGTGTTCAGCTGCTAAGTCACTTTTTTCTTTTTTTTTTGCATTTGGTGACCTTTCTTTTAATTGAGAGAGGGACCTTTATTGAAGTCACCCTCGCACCAAGGCATTGTTCCAGCATCTGCTGTATCATTTGTCACTTGATCTTGATTATTGTTCTCCAGCCAGGGATCTGGGGGTGACAATCTATATAGTCCAAGAGGCTATTTTAAGAGCAGGCTGGTGAATCGGTAGATTTTTGCAGTAGGAGGTGGAACGACAGTTATGGTAAGGAGGTAGAACCACCAGGCTTTATTAACTGAGAACAGCTTGGTGCTTTTTTTAATCTAAAGCAGACATGTCAAACTCGCGACGTCACGTGACGTCGCACGACGTATCGGAGCTTTTTCCCAATTGCCAACAATGGGGCGGGTGCGGTTTCGTTGTGACGCATCCGGCCCACGGGCCGGCAGTTTGACACCCCTGATCTAAAGCCACTAGTAGCCATTACTGAGACACAGACATTTGCAATGCCTAATCAGCTGTGTCTGTTAATGTAACAAACTTCAAAGAGGCCAAAACGTGTTAATACATCAACATGTAAATAATGCCATAACTGTTAACGATTTTGGGCACAGGTATGTAAGTCAAAGCATTTGCACCATGCGGTCATGACGCAAAATTTCATCATCTACCCCATTTGCACCCATGTAAGCACATAGACATTTCACATTAGGGGTAATCTGATAGCTTTGGATTTGGCTGCATGTGTGGTTTATAGCCGCATTGTGTGTGAAATCAGATTTATCCAGTAAGCTATGTCTGAACGAACCACGGTCAATCAAGTCGAGAGACTTCAGAACAGATGAAAAATGTGTAAGGCCAGGATGGCTCAGGAATTCTGGGAGTTGAAGTCCACGAGTCATAAAAGAGCCAAGGTTGCCTATCCCTGTTCTAGTTGAATGCATTAGTTCATACAATCAAGTATGATAGACTGCATGGGCATAAGGTTTGATCCAATTTGCTCTTCCTACATTTTTATTAAAAGCTTTCTGGAGATACTTGGTAGCCCATGTTCATTGTGTTGCTGCTATCTCCACCTGAAAGAGTCATTTCAAGTGGGCTTTGATCATTGATCAGGGGTCTTCAAACTTGGCCCTTTTATGACTTGTGGACTTCAACTCCCAGAATTCCTCAGCCTGGCTGAGGAATTCTGGGAGTTGAAGTCCACAAGTCATAAAAGGGCCAAGTTTGAAGACCCCTGCTCTAGTTAATGCTGACTGTGGTTAACAGCTCTGCTGGCAAACTCTTAAACTGATTAAGGTAAGAAGATAGAATTTGCCCCTGGGAGGAGAACTGAAATAATTCAAAGTTGACTCTCAATTATATTCACCACGATCTTCGGGAAAGAAACTTAATTTCAATACTTCCCCAAGCCAAGTTTTGAATGAAATATCATTTGTGATTATACAGAGTTTTAATGGTTACTTAGCCTTTTTTTTGCTGCTTTTTAACCTCCCAAGAATTCAGATGGCATATATTTTAAGTTTTTCGGCATCCTGTACAAGTTTTCCTTACGTAGACCTCGCCAGATGTGGTTTGGGGGTTTTTTTTGCATCACATTGTATTCTAGGAATCCTAGCTTAGTAAGTCATGATGTGAACAAACAAGGTTTGCTTGCAAAGCATTCCTCTTTCCTGGAGAGCAGCCAGCCAAACCATCAAGGATAACTTCTTGTTATATACAAGTCCACAATTATTGTTAAATGGACCCAAAGAAGTCAAGATGGCAAACCAGCGCTAAACCAAGATTATTTGCTCAAACTCTACCCTGTTTTCCCTTCACTTAATATGCAAATATGCCTAGGAGATTATTCCTAAAACATTGGTATAGAATTAGCATCTTGTTTCAATGCTTCCTATTTCATGGATTGTTTTAAACAAATCAAGGTGAACATTCTTGTTTTTAGGGAAAAAAAATAGACCTAAAAACACTCTAAACCCGATGCCTTGTTTTCTTAATTTCTGATGTTCCTTTAGGATGTGTGCAGTGTTTGGTGGGATCTATTGCCTCCGGCATTCCATAAAGTGTCTTGTGGTAGACAAAGAACTTAGAAGGTAAGTCTTCAGAGAAGTAACCTTCTTTCTCTTTTATATAAACGCAACCCCGAGATGAAAAATGCCAGGGTCTTCGTTTTTTAAAAAAACCATTCTTCAAAGATCTTCCTTGGTATTAATAACACATCAACCTTGATTAAAAATAATTTGTGTATAGGTCCTCCAGAACTAGGAAAGTGGGTTTAGAATAAAGAAACTAAATTAATTTCCCTCTGATATTACTGCAGCCTCATGATCATCCAAGCTTGGAAGACAGATTATTTCAGTTGCCGGGGGTCTGGTGATGAGTGATGTTAGTTTTCCTTGTGGCCTTACCTACTCTAATTGATTTTCATCAGATGACAACAAAGCCCTCTGTTATTGCATTTTTAAAAATGAAGCTCTCCTAAAGATTCATCAGATTAATCTTTGCTGATAATGCATGTCACTCTAAGAGAAAAGGCTTTAATGAGTTTTGAGGTAGATTGTTGTCATAAACTAGGCTGCCCTCTTAGCCTAGAATGAATTATTTTTCCACCAGTATTGGGCTTTTGAGCAACTTTTTTTTTTTAAAGTTGGAACCAAATCAACTGATGTTTGGGGGGCTGCAAGATTTATACCAATAGGATGGTGCAGAGCACCAAAAGGTGAGCAGCTTGTTCAGTGTGCTAAAACAGGGGTCCCCAATCCCCGGTCCGTGGACTAGTACCGGGCCGCAGCATGCCAGCAACAGATCCGCACAAACAAGGAAAGCCCCATCCACAGGATGCAGGCAGCACACAAAACCACACCCCTTCTGGTCCATGGAAAACCTCTCTCCACGGAACTGGTCCCTGGTGCCTAAAAGGTTGGGGACCTCTGTGCTAAAGCATAAGGTGGTTAGGTTTAGCATAACATCTGCACTTAATTTTATAAACTAAATGTTATGTTATAGAGTGCCTTAACCAGAAGTTGGGTTACTTAAGTATCATATGATAAACAAGACGGGGAATGGATCTAGGGCTAATTTTCCTTTCTGGTTTCTAGGTATAGAACCAGGGCAGGGGTCTTGGCAACTTTAAGTCTTGTGGACTTGAACTCTCAGAACTGACTGAGGAATTCTGGGAGCTGAAGTCCACAAGTTTTAAAGTTGCTAAGATTGGAGATCCCTGAATTAGGAGAATGGAGTAGCTTCAGAAGGGGCTCCTTTAGTGGACTAATACTCCCATCAATGTTTTCATTACCTCCTATGCAGAACAGAACTGGGACCCAAAGAATAGGGAATGTAGCCATCCTCTACCCCAGGGGTCTCCAAACTAGGAGGAGAAGGACAGGCAGAGCCTGGTGGCGGAGTCAATAGAGCAGACATGTCAAACACAAGGCCCGGGGGCCAGATGCGGCCCGCGAAGCGGTTTCATGTGGCCCGCAAAGCCATCCTGGAAACAGTGAGGGAACGGCCCCCTCTGCTTTGGCCCTGGCCCAGGCCAGCCAGGAGCCAATGTACAATTTTGTGGTGGCCCTCTATGCTGAAATGCATTCAGTCTTAGCTCCACAAGCCCCCCCCCCCTGGCATGGCCTGAGAGGAACAGTGAGGCTCCTCCAGTGGACCATGCCTTGGCCCTTGCCCTGGTCCCACCTCCTTCTGCCAGAGACCCTCAGATCTATCCCACTCCTGCCCAGGCCCCCACAGACACCCTTGACACGAACGATGTAGAGCTGGCCACACCCACCCAGTAGGCCACACCCACTCTGGCCACACCCATCCGGCCCCCTGAGGGCAACCGCAATGCTGATGCGGCCCTCAATGAAATTGAGTTCTCACAAGCGGTTTATGTCCATCCCCTCCTGAATTCCATTGACTTTTATCTAGTGCCAATATAGTGCTGACTGTTAGTTGATCAGATTCTTCTGTATAGGCAATGCATCAGCTTAACTAGAACTTAATGTGTGGTTCTGATTCTTCCCATTTGGCACTAATTTGCCTTAAGAAGATCTGGGAAGTTCCCCTCAGAGCTTCATGTTCTGGCTGATACAAATGTTCCATCTTTGTATCCTTCAGCTTTCTATTTGGCAGGCCTCTTGGTCCAAAGGAATGGTTGAACCAAGTGATGGAATTGGATGGATAAACTTGGCTATCCCCAAACTTAACATTTGTCCTTCCAAGACTGCAGTCTCAATTACCGCAGATAAGGCCTGTGTCCCCAGAAGTGTGGGTGTCTGCATTTATATCTTAAAACTAGCCGTCCCTGGCCACGCGTTGCTGTGGCTCAGTCTGGTAAAAGCATGTGTTGCTTTTACGTCCAACAGATGGCGCTGTTTTTTTAAAAAAAGCATGTTTTTACCTGTCACAGGTGTGACATCTATATAATATAGGCATATAAAAACACGCGCGTATTCGAATGCAACGTTGTGTGAAAATTTCAAAGCAATCGGTGAAGAACTTTCGGAGATTTAAGAATTTGAACAAACGAACATTTACATTTTTATTTATATAGATAATGCCAAAGAGAAGGAGTGGAGGAATAAAGTATTTGCATCTACAGTCAGTCCTAATTAAACCAAGAATGGTATTTCTGCTAATGTAACCCAAGGCCAATCAGATTTGTTGCCTGTTTGGAAATGATTGGGTTTGGGGGTGGGTTTTGTTTTTTTTTTGCCTTTACAGCAGGGGTCCTCAACCTTGGCAACTTTAAGACTTGTGGACTTCAACTCCCAGAATTCTTAAAGTCTTAAAGTTGCCAAGGTTGAGGACCCCTGCTTTAGGGGGCTGCACATTGCATTTCCTTCCTACCCCCCCTTTTAATTTAACCTTTCAGGGTGTTTTTTTTTTAATGGTACATAGCTATTGTTTATGGAGTTTCATTTCCACAAGGTTTAAAAATGTTTTCATTTGTATTTGTGGGTTTTGTGATCTACATTTTAAAAGCACCATCCCTGTTTTTGCTTCAAGCGCCGTTTGCAGCGCAGTTTTCCAAAGAAGCCGCTGGCCTCTGCGAGAACTGACGAATGTAAATTTATCTTTTCACAATAATAATTTTAAAAAAATAATAATAATAGCAAACACGGTAAATTTACATATCTTTCCTGAGTTATTGCTTGCTGGCTTTGTCAGTGCTGGTAAGTCCATTTCAAGGGTGTCGCCCTTAGTCCATTAGTTTGGATAATGAGCCCTATAAAGTACATTTATAACTGGTGCCACTTGGCAAGGAGATGGATTCTAATTTTCATCCTTTTATCTCGACACATTGAAGAAGGTCAATGGAGGTTCTGTATGATTCATTGTCTGAACAGATATCAGATGACAGAGAGACCTGATAATGTCATTGTCTAAGTGGCTTCCTTATTTGAGCCTGGCACTGGAAAGAATTCTTCTGCTGATCTTCCTTTTTTTAAAAAAAAAACCCCGAAGATCGGTTTTAAGAGGGACGTTGCATTCTTTTTCTCTGCTCGTGAACAAATCTCTGGCATTAGCCGCTGTTGAATGATGAAGCAGGAAGAAAAGAAAGAATTATTTATATCTTTTTTTTTCTTTCTGTGGGGTCCTGTAATATGACATTTAATCCACCCTCCTCCTCCTATTTTTGCCCACACAAGAATGTACAAAAACAGCTTCACAGACAGTAGCAAAGAATTCACTTTGATTTTAATGGTTTGATTCCAGCATTCTGGCTTGCATTCCTGGCAGTATTCAGTAAATGGATAGCAAAACAAATTTGGGCCCTGTTTTTTTTTTTTTTTTTTTAAACAAACCCTTAACTGTCACGAGCCGAATAAATTCCTCTGTGTTTCTCTAATTCAGTTCATGTGATTCATTTATCATTTCCTCTTTTGACTAGTCATCATCTCATAAAAGGGAGATGTTAGGCTTGGAAGTGTAGGAAAAATTGCAAACATTTTTTTCAATACTTTTTTGGGGAAAATCTCTTAAGTGGGGGTCTTCCTGGCCTTGGGACGCTGTTCTGTTGGGTGAGAAGAAGAGAAGACAGTGGGGGGGGCAATGAAAGAAATGCTGTGCCTTTCAGCAAATCAATATTTCATCTATTTTTCTGCAGCTAAATTTATCTAAAATATGTTTTGCATGGCTTTAATTAAAGATTCTAACCCTGGTTTACAAGCCATGATTCAGACCTTGGGATGCTCTGCAGGTCTAGCCAGTTGTGATTCATTTAATTAGCTATAATTAAAAAGACCACAGCTTACTGCCTTGTATGACGAAGTCTAGTAAAGACATTTTTTTAAAAAAAAAACATTATTAAGATTATCATGATATGAAGTACAAATTAAAGTAAAAATAATAGGGAAATGGGAAAGGGAAAGGGGGGAAAGAAGCGTAGAATAAAAATGGAAAGAAAAAAAAGCACTGACTTACAGCTTTTTTCAACACAGTAGAACACAAGGTAAAATTACAACCACAACTTTTTACTTTTACATACTTAGTAAATACGAGCCATTTCTATAAGGTAGACTAATTTAATTGGCAAATCCCATGGATAGTATTTCATTTTCTTCTATCTTGTGCACAAAGTCTAAAAACTGTTTCCAAAGTCTATTAAACACATTTAACACTCAAAAATATTCTTAAATGAAAGGAGGGAGGGAAGGACAGAGAGATATATAGACATAGGGCTATAGATGGATTGTTTCAGATTCTTCAGATCTGTAATCTGGGGGTGGAACATCTCCGCTGGTACAGAAAGAATAACAGGCTGAAGAAGTTAATGTTCTGGGAAAGATTCTAGAGATGGTTAAATGTCAAAAGCCTCCTAAATCGTTTCAAAAATGTTTCTAACTTTCTTTTCTTTTTGGTCAAATAATAATAATAATAATAATAATAATAATAATAATAATAATAATAATTATTATTATTATTATTATTATTATTATTATTATTATTATTATTATTATTATTATTATTATTATTATTATTATTATTATTATTATTATTATTATTATTATTATTATTATTATTATTATTTAAAAAAATCCAGACAAATTTGTGTAAAACCATGTTGAAAATAATCCTCATTGAGTTTCACGTAATAAAACCAAGAGCGGATAAAACAATGCAGACCTAAAAATGGGCAGACAAAACTCTTTTAACTATGCTAAAAGCTCAAACGAAAGAAAACAAGTTGGTTGGGATTTTTTTATTATTATTATAGTCTATAAATGTTTTATATTCCTCAATTTAACTAACAATGGCACAAACTGTTTTGCTTTTTAAAACTTTCCCCCCATGTTTTCCAACAGGTGTAAAGCCGTTATCGATCATTTCGGTCAAAGGATAAATGCAAGTTATTTCGTTGTGGAGGACAGTTACCTTTCAGAAAAAATATGCAAAAACGTATCTTACAGGTAAATATTGACACGAGAATAACTAAAAGGGCAGGCTGACTCAGAAGTAAAACTCATTGCATTTAGCCATACCATTTGTGGACATCCATGTCAATCTCAACAATGAATTTTATCTGGTTCCCTGGATTACTGTGAAATCAGTGCGGAAAAAAGTCTATGTAGACCAATTTCTTCTTGCGTCCTCCACCTTGTTACTCGTGTGTGACTTACACATATTTAGTATATCAACCCTTGTAGAAATCATCCAGTTTTATGCCCTGGGGGACACCCTGGGTTCAAAATTAGCCTTTGTTTTGAAAATCAATCTGAAAAAAGTCTGATAAAATATTAATTATTATTTCCCCCTCCTTGCATATGGATGGCCCACCTGTTTCTTTAGGGTTAAGCATGCATGCAGATATAGGCACAATCCTGGTCAGAGATTAAAGGCTGGAGTCCAGATAAATATGACATAGATGAGACAATGATAGGATGGCTTAAATTCTCATATTGTATTTCCCTACTTGACAAATCTTCACCCCCTATAAGGTTAAATAAATGTTTCTTCACCTCATATTTCATCCCTTATCTATAAGCAAATCCGTAAAACTGGCTGGAGTATTTTTGGAGCCGAAGTCCACCTGTCCTAATCTTGCCAAGGTTGAGAACTGCTATTCAAGTGAATCCTGCAGTGAGCAGGGGTTTGACTAAGACTAAGTTGATCTTAATCATGATACCTGCCTTCTAATACTTGAGAAGTTGACATAGAGAAGAGGGGATTGACTTATTCTCCAAAGCACTAGAGCAGGGGTAGGCAACCTTGGCTCTTTTATGACTCGTGGACTTCAACTCCCGGAATTCCTGAGCCAGCTGTGAACCCAGGGTGTCCCCCAGGGCATAAAACTGGATGATTTCTACAAGAGTTGATATACTAAATATGTGTAAGTCACACACAAGTAACAAGGTGGAGGATGTGCTGGCTGAGGAATTCTGGGAGTTGAAGTCCACGAGTCATAAAAGAGCCAAGGTTGCCTACCCCTGCACTAGAGGGTAGAACAAGAAATAATGGATATAAGTTTGCTAATCAGGGATCCAACCTAGAAGTAGGGAGAAATTTTCTGACCCTGAGAAAAATTAATGAATGGAAGAGCTTTTATACCTATTTATTTCGTATGGCGTAACAGGATACGGCATTAACCATTGTTTGTATTTTTGGTTCACATGCTGCTGCTTCTTGCTGGGAGATTCTTATGAGATCCAGCAGCCAGAATGCATAGACAATTTGGCCATGACAAAGTCACGTAGCCTGGGGTGCACCATGAAGAGGCTAGTCTACATTGCAACCCAAAGGAATAGCTTGCCCACTGGAGTTGTGGGTGCTCCATCACTAGAGGTTTCCAAGAAGAGACTGAACAGCCATTTGTCCAGAATGGTATAGGGCAGGGGTCCCCAACCCCTGATCCGTGGACCAGTACCTGGCCACGGCATGCCAGCAACCGGTCCACACAAACAAGCAAAGCCCATCCCTGAGATGCAGGCAGAACACAAAACCACGTCCCCTCCGGTCCACGGAAAAAAATCTCTCTCCACAGAACCGATCCCTGGTGCCCAAAAGGTTGGGGACCTCTGGTATAGGGTCTTCTGCTTGAGCAGGGGGCTGGACTAGAAGACCTCCAAGATCCCTTCAGCTCTATTATTGCACGTTCTATTAATAAAAGAGCAGACTGTTTTCAGACTGATGGCGGTTGAAATCCAGATAGCTCTTTCTGGCAAGCTCAGGTCGTAAATTAGACCTGGGGCAGAAGGAGATAATCCTAGGGCCCTCGCTGGTCGTTGACGTGGATAGTCTAACCCATCTGGAAGGCATCCGCCTGCTCACACGGGGGCTTCTTCTAAATGTTTCCTGCTGCCACAGCATTCTTGATGATCTCTTTAGTTCTCAAAAGTGGCTTGCACAAAGCCAGGAGAAGGCAGCTGGGATCTTTGAGGGGGCTTTAATCATAGGCACCTATGATGACTTCTGATTGGCCTTCGAATTTCATCATTGGCATGACTCTGCGTTACAGTAACGGTCGGCCACGGTTGGCACCTTAGCTCTCTGCACAACGATTTGCCGTTGGACATAACTTCAAGATGGCTGAACATCCCATTCCGTACGGAGCCCTCAATGCCTTCATTACATTTTGATGGTGATTAAGTCAGAGCCGTAACCTTTATATAAGCCTGACTGGAGTCATTATTAATTTCTTAACTTAAGCAGGCCATATGTGAAAATGTCATTAGCCATGTTCAGACTACCGAGTGTAGAACGTTACTCGCGTTGGGGCAATGCGTGTTGTTTTTAATGAAAATGAAATGTGGGTCCATATGGCTCTGTTTTTTTTTTTTTAAATGATTATTATGCTTGATGACGGTGTTTTGTTTATTCTCTGGCAGGCAGATCTCCAGAGCTGTTCTCTTAACGGATCGACCCGTACAGAATAACGAGAGCTCCGATCAGCAGGTCAGCCCACCAGCTCTCGCTCTTTGCTCCTTGCCTCCTGACCATCTCACATCCTGGATTAATTTTGTCTAGTTATTTAGAATGTTTTGTAAAAACAGACTGGGCTCTGCCACCTCTGGGCTCCTTGCTAGTTAAATAAGAAGGCCTCATGTCCTAGAACTCAAATTTTGGAAATATTAGTAAATGTTTGATTGGTGAAATGTTCGTTAAAAGTAAAAAAAAAAATGGATTCAAATTAAGGTAGCCATACCTTTGATCCAACGGTGGGATTCAAATATGTGAACAACCAGTTCTCTGTGTGGATGCCGCTTCCGGAAGTCCGTTCTGGGCCTGGGCAACCAAAAATTAGCTACCGGTTCTGCCGAAGTGGTCCGAACTGGCTGAATCCCACCACTGCTTTGATCCTACTGAAATAAAAAAAAGTTACTCGTAAGTCTCAGTCGATTAGAAAAAAATGCATGTAGAACTGAAGTTGGGTGGGATCTGAAGTTGATGTAAGTTAAAGAAAGAATTTCTTCCTGGCTTTTGCCCCATGCCAACTGGACAAATGATGGCTCCAAAATTGGGGAAAACTCAGTTGTAGAGGAGCTTTGCTGAAATTAAGTCTCTGTAATCTCTCCCATTCCCTTGAGTCAAATTATCTTCTGAAAAGAGTTTCATGCATGGAGGTATAGCCTTTTATATATACACACACACACTATATATATATATATATATATATATATATATATATATATAGTGTGTGTGTATATATGTATGTCTGTATATCTGTGTATCTCTGTCTCTCTGTCTCTCTCTCTTTTTCTGTCTCTCTGTCTCTCTCTCTCTCTGTCTCTCTCTCTTTCTCTCTCTCTCTCTCTGTGTGTGTGTGTGTGCGCGCGCACACACACACACACACACAGAGGCAGGACAAGAAATAATGAAGGAAAGTAATCAAGGAGAGAACCAACCTAGAACTAAGGAGAAATTTCCTGATGGTTGGAATAATTAATCGATGGAACGGCTTGCCTCCAGAAGTTGTGGGTGCTCCCATCACTGGAGGTTCTCAAGAAAAGATTGGATAGTTATTTGTCCAAAATGGTACATGGTCTCCTGCTTGAGCGAGGGGTTGGTCTAAAGAAGATGAGGTCCCTTCCAACACTGTTATTCTGTTATTCTATTATATATTACATAGAGGTTAAAAAAAACCCTCCCATGAATAGTTAAGGACACCCACACCCTTATCTCAGTCTGGCTTAGAATTTTAGTTTGGCACAGATACAGTATTGGTTTAAAATTGGGAAATATAAGGGTTTTTGTGTGTGCAAAAGTTAGCAGAAATCATTTATTTTATTTTATTTTTAAGTGAGGTGTGTGCCTTGGTTGAGGTCTTTTGTTTCCATTCCAGATTTCCATCTTGACTGTCCCACCCCAGGAGGAAGGCCAGCCAGCTGTTTGCCTTGTGGAATTGTGTTCTTCAGCCATGACCTGCATGAAAAATACATGTGAGTTGACCCAGTTTTCCCAGGGGTACATCTGAACTGTAGATCAGACACAATTACAGAGAAGCACAAATTGGTTTATTGATAGGATCGGTAGCAGAGATGGAAGAGAAGGAGCTTAAAGAAGAGATAGGATTAGAAGCCGCCTTTACAGATGGATGCAAAATCATCCTTTTATTTGATAGGCTACATTTCAGTCACAGATTCTCGTTAGTTATGTGATAGACTATACCAATCAAGGCAGTTGATTAGGTTAACCTTGCTGATTAGATTAATTCATCTGCGTATTGAAATTTAATATAAGGGACGGATAGGATGAAGTCACGCCTCTTCTATAAAATGGATCCTTTGGATTAAATCAGGGGTGTTCAACATTGGCAACTTTAAGCCATGTTGGCTGGGGAAATCTGGACGTTGAAGTCCACAACTCTTAAAACGATCAAGATTGGACACCCTTGGATTTAAATAAAGGAGTTTAGTGCGTAAAACTGCTATCTCACTTTTAACTCCTCTGTAAAAAAAAAAAACCTTCCCAATATTCCTTGTTAAACCTTCACTCCTTTCTTGTTTTTATCAACTGGATTGCGCTCAGTTCAGTCACAATCAAAAACCCGTAAGGATCAGAAACACCACACTTAAAACTGCATTGTCATAAGGACTGGAAACTGTTTTGAAAAGAAATAGAAATACTTGCGCGGTTTCCCCCTGCTTTCATATTTGTGGGAATAGTAGGTTACTTACATCACCTTCATCACCTTCATCACCTTCTTCTTCTTCTTCATCACCTTCATCATCTTCTTCTTCTTCTTCTTCTTCTTCTTCTTCTTCTTCTTCTTCTTCTTCTTCTTCTTCTTCTTCTTCTTCTTCTTCTTCTTCTTCTTCTTCTTCTTCTTCTTCTTCTTCTTCTTCTTCTTCTTCTCCTTCTCCTTCGCCTTCTCCTTCGCCTTCTCCTTCTCCTTCTTCTTCTTCTTCTGCCATATCCGTTATCCGATGTTGGCGATCATGTTGGCGATCCTGTTTTTATCAGCAGCCGCACGAAAAAGTGCTGCTGAGTTTTGTCCAAACCAATCCCTTAGATTTTGAAGCCACGATGTTCTTCTTCGGCCTGGACATCGTTTGCCTTCCATCTTTCCCTGGAGGATTAAATGGAGTAGGCTGTATTTTTCTGGGTGTCGCATCACATGTCCGAAATATTCTAATTTTAGTTTTTTAATCGTTTTGATGATTTCCCTTGGCTTTCCCAGGCGGCTTATCCCCTCCTCATTTCTGATCTTGTCAACCCAGCTTCTACGTAACAGCCGCCTGTAAAACCACATTTCAAATGCTTCTAGTCTCTTCAGGAGGCCTTCTGTCAGAGACCAGCTCTCTACTCCATAGAGCAGGATAGAAAAAAATAGAGCATCTGACAAGCCTGATTTTCAGTCTTAGGCTTAGGTCGTGACTGCAGAAGACCTTTTTCATTTTGAAGAATGCTGTTCGAGCTTTCTCTATCCATATCTATAGTTACTTACATGCTGCAGAGAAAACACTTATTCCCTCCCTTTGCAGAAATTGTTGCCGTCAATTTTCAGTGAGGTCCCACAAGGGAGGCTGCCAGTCTATGGATTAGAAACTTGGTAGGACACACACACACACACCTCTCCTTTTGCCACCGACAACATAAATGGGAAATTCTGCTTTAGCGGAAGACGTAGTTCGCCTCATTACTTACCTGGACTTGCGCCTCTGCCTATTTCTCCCCCCTATTATTAAAATCATTATAATAAGCTTTGGAGAGAAGGCTCTAATTATGTATTTACACTTCAGGTCAACGGGACTGTTAATGCTCATTCATTAAAATGACAGATGGTTATCTTAATTTTTTCAACTGGGTAAGAAGACGCCACGGGAGGCCTCAGTCTGAAAGCATTTCACACCCAGGCCTGGTTTTCTGGCTTAATATCTCCACTGCCAAACGAAGGGTGCAGGCAGAAATTCTCAGATGCTTGACTCAGCATGGCTGGTTGGACTCTAGGCTCAGCGTAGGCTGAAGGTTCTCCAGCCCAGGAAGAAGAAAAAATAATAATAATAATTTACCGGTAGTCCTTGACTTATGACCACAATTGAACCCAAAATTTCGGTTGCTAAGCGAGCCGTCAAATGAGCTTTGCCCCACAAACTTGCCACAGTTTTTAAGTGCATCCCTGCAACTGTTAAGTTAGTAACACGGTTGTTAAGTGAATCCGGATTCCCCCGTTGACTTTGCTCGTTAGAAGGTCACAAAAGGGGATCACGGGACAGCCCCCCCCCTCCGGGGCCTGGCAACCGTCGTAAATACGAATCAGTGGCCAAGTGCCTGAATTTGGATCCCGTGACCGTGGGGATGCTGCAAAGGTCATAACTGAAAAACGGTCCTAGGTCACTTTTTTCAGTGCCGTTGTAACTTCAAACGGTCACTAAACGAAATGTTGTAAGACGAGGACTGCCTGTATTGCATCTTGGAAAGAAACCATTATGACAAACTAATAAAAAATTTGAATCCTGAACCACCAAATGGCCCTAAATACGATTGTCCTCAAGTTGTTCTATGTTCCCCAGACATGTTGCTGCCTCTCCATCTTTCCTCCTTGACCTCATTTTAGCATAAAAATTCAGGAACTGTTATTAATACCTGGTAATTAGATCTCCAATCAATAGACTACTTTTGAATTTCAACCAGATAGAGAGGATTAGATAACTTTCAAGAAAGGTCCTTCATCCTTAGCTTTCCTTCCTTCCTTCCTTCCTTCCTTCCTTCCTTCCTTCCTTCCTTCCTTCCTTCCTTCCTTCCTTCCTTCCTTCCTTCCTCTGCCTCCATCCTCCCCTTCCTTCCTTCCTTCCTTCCTTCCTTCTTTCCTTCCTTCCTTCCTTCCTTCCTTCCTTCCTTCCTTCTTTCCTTCCTTCCTTCCT